GCCTCACCAGGGCAGAGTAGAGGGGAAGGAGAACCTCCCTTGACCTCAGCAACCTCAACAGCCCCTGAAATCCAGTGGAGCAGAGAGGGGCTGCGTGCAGGGCATGGGTCTGGTGCGTTGGATCAGTTGAGGTGTAACTCAGTTGAGGTGCCTCCAAGTTGAGGTGTCAACCCCATAGCTCCTAGCAGGTAGCGTTGCCATTTGCAAAGGACAGGACCATGCTCATGCTATGGGGTCCTGCACTGCACCACCGGCCTCTGACCCCACTGGGGACAACAAATCTTCTGGAGCCAGGACTCCTCAGCATCGGTGGGACGTTACCTGTGGTGTCTTGCTTGGTCACAAAGGATTCAGAAGGGGTGACAGCTGCTGGTCGAGGTAATCGTCTCGCGATGCATATCAGACACGACTGGAAATCTGCCAAAGCAGAAGAAAAGGACCAGGACCATGAAAATCAGACGTTAAAATCACCACTCACAATTCAACATTTGAATTAAAATATCACCGCTGCGCTTGACTGTCACGTCCTGCCCTGGAAGTGGTTACCCCAAAAGATCTTCTGGTCCTTCAAAGCAAAGAAGTTCTATCTAAACTCTATCAAATTTGCTAGAAAAGAGGTTTCCAGAGCTTGGAGAAATTAATTGCAAAGGTTTTTCAGATCTGGCAGTAGAGTACAATAAAAGTCAGCGCTAAAAGCCAACGACTGTCAGCTTCAGGCAAAGGATTTGGTCATAAACCACCATAATTTATTCCTTCCAGTCGTGATCTCCTGTGTAAACCACAAGGGATGAATCCAGCTGATGTGCTGGAAAATAAGAGCTGGGACAACGAAAGGAGAGTCAGGGCACTCGCAGGAACGCAACAGTCCCCACAGCACCGAGGGAACCCTGCCCATCCCGAGTTCCTGGGCAGAGATCTGCCCACAGGCAGCTGATTCAACCCAAAAATGTGTGGGTAGCACCTTGGGCTGGCAGCGGTGAAGGCACCAGTTGGGGTGTTGGGAACCCACGTCCCTCACTGGGAAGGGGCTGCAGCCAGAGGGCTTTGGGGGGGGGATAAAATATTGTTCTTTCCTTCAGGAACAGGAACTGCAAACAGCCCCGGAGCAGCTCTGGAGGGTCAGGGAAGCTGGGATGGCTGGAGAGCATCAGCTTGGAGTGAAAGGGAGAGCGAGAAGCTGCTGTGAACTTCAGGCATCTGCCCCAGGGTCTTCCCTGAGCCTGGCCAGGAGTAACCCCCAGGCAGCCCTGCAGGGTGGTGGCTGGTCCTTCTCCTGCCTGCACTGCCATCCCCATCCCACTGCTCTTCCTGCCTGAACATCCATCTCCATCCCACTGCTCCTCCTGCCTGAACATCCATCCCCATCCCACTGCCCCTCCTGCCTGCATTGCTGTCTCCATCCCAGTCCTCCTGCCTGCCATGCCATCCCCATCCCAGTCTTCCTCCTGCCTGAACTTCCATCCCCATCCCACTCCTCCTCCTGCCTGCATTGCTGTCTCCATCCTTGTCCTCCTGCCTGCCCTGCCATCTTCATCCTGGTCTTCTTCCTGCCTGCACTGCCACCCCCATCTCACTCCTCCTCCTACCTGCATTGCTGTTTCCACCCTGGTCCTCCTTGCCTGTCCTGCCATCCTCATCCTGGTCTTCTTGCCTGCACTTCCATCCCCATCCCACTCCTCCTCCTGCCTGCATTGCTGTCTCCATCCTGGTCCTCCTGCCTGCCCTGCCATCCTCATCCTAGTTCTGCCTGCACTTCCATGCCCATCCTACTGCTCCTCCTGCCTGCACTGCTGTCTCCATCCTGGTCCTCCTTGCCTGCCCTGCCATCCCCATCCCAGTCCTCCTCCTTGCCCGCACTTCCATCCCCATCCTAGTCCTCCTCGTGCCTGCATTGCTATCTCCACCCTGGTCCTCCTTGCCTGTCCTGCCATCCCCATCCCGGTCTTCTTGCCTGCACTTCCATCCCCATCCCACTCTTCTTCCTGCCTACCCTGCCCAAACACAGGGTTGGAAGCAGAGGATGTTCTCCCCTACCTTCTCCTTCCTCCTTGAAGGACTTGGGCTGGGAGACGGTGAAGCACTGCATCACCTCGTAGCGCTGACGAGCCTCCTGGTTCTCCGTGCCTGGCTCGTCGGGTGGCCGGATCAGCATCCTGCAGCTGAAGGTATGGCTGTTACGCCTGGTGGCTTCTTGAGGCCAAGGAACTCCATTTACTGAGGGTTGGAGAAAGGAGGAGAGGAGTTGTTAGGAGCTGTACCATGCCCACATCCCTCTCGACTTCCCAAGGACCCCTTGGATAAGGGGACAGAAGGAAAAGCAGCAGCATGGTGGAAGAATCAGAATCATGGAATTGTTTTGGTTGGAAAAGATCTTCAAGATCATCAAATCCAACAGAGAAGAAACCATCTCATTGTCCAGCTGATAAAAAAACCCCACCTCAAGCGCTTTCTTACCTAGAGACTTTGGCAACAAATTCTTGACAAACTCAGCGTGGTCCCCCACGTGCAGGATGCTGTAGACACTGGTGTTCATCAGCTCCTCCTGGTTGTAACCCAAGTAGCTGGTCACGTTCTCAGACACGAAGACGATCCTCCCTTCACGGTTCACAACAAAGAAGAAGCCATCCAATGCCTGTAAGGAGAATAAACCCAGACAGCAAGTGGACAATGGGTCCTGGAGCAGGTCAGGATGCTCCATGACCATGGCCAACCTTCCTCTGCCTCTTGCACCTTGGCTTCATCTCCACTCTGTATGATAGTGATCAGATAACAGCACATTTGATTAAAC